CAAAACAACGGACTTCATATTTGCTTTCCTCACAAGTTGTGGTAACATTAACAATATTTATTTACATATCAAGTTGTTTGACAACATTGTTGTGACCCAAGAGCTTGTCCAAGATAGATAGTAACAGAGTTACCACAATCTTGTTTGGCATTTTCTAAGTTAATTGCAGGTCCACATAGTTCTCCAGAACAATAGAGATAATCTATAGCACAATTAAATAATGTAACACGGAAATCAGGAATATAACCCACATATTTGGTAATCATAATTCAGGATCCTAAATTTAAATTTACCACCAAAAAGGAACATTTAACATTTTTTCAAGAAAATAATAAGTTTAAAGACTAGATTTTAACATCTTAGGCCTTGTCTGATAGGGAAGATTTTCCAGGGAAGATGTAAATTATTTTGCCATTTTCCACTTTTAACCTGTTTGATAGGAAATTTTCTCCAGGCAATTGGTTTTCTCACTTTTTTGCACGTGACCCCCACTTTCTTGCACGTGACCCCCAATTCCACGAAAATAAGGAATTCAAATTTCCAACTCTAAGCTGGTTTTTTGTTTTCTTGGCAAATTGGCAATTGAGCAACACCGTTAGGAAACAGAGCCGCTCTACCTCTTGGAGTCGGCACCTTCTACTCCAAAATTCAACCACTATACCGCCAGGCAAACCACGGGATTTCCACACCATCAAGATCTCATCATCCCACTCTTCAATTCCATACCAAAAATTGGACATAAAAGTTCCAAAATCACCCAAAATTCAGCTCAAAATGACGCCTTCACGCAGGGTTTCAACACCAATTCCGGCCAACCCTCCAACACCCATTACCGTACTCCATTATAGGCCCCTAATACTCATAAAGGTGAGCAATTTCATGGTCCCACATCATCAAGAAACAATTTATAACAGATTGCATCTCTTACATGTTCGAATACAGCGAATTGCGCACAGTGCATCCCAAATTCCGACTCCGGCGTTGAGAATCGCGGTTGCGCACCACCACTATTACCTCCTACACATTATGGCGGACAAGATACATATATGGGTATATGTCGATTTAGCTTGAATTCAAAAAGACCATTGAATTGTAGGAAAAAAAAACTTTCAAGAAACCATTGAAGACGAAAGCCAAGAAAGTAGGCGACGGATGTGTAAGTGGAAGAGGAGTCTGCAATTGTGATTTTTGCATTGCAGATCGTGACCTTCAGGATTGTTAATGCATGTGGTTGAACTGAAATTAAAATGGAAATGAATTCAGTCATGGTGCAGAAAAAGAAATTGGGAGGATGATGTTTTTATTTTGGGTTATTTTATTTTATTTTTATTCCAAGTGGACAAATTAACGATATAAATGTGCCACGTCAGCTTTCCATAGCGCACAAGGAGTTTTCCATCAATTTTGGGTCTGAATTAATGCATTGGAATTTGTGCCACAAAATACAATTTCCCTGAAAAACAAAGCTAAACAAACACCAAAAGATGGAAAATTTCAATATTTTTCAAGTGAAAAATTATACCAATAAAAAATAATTAATTACAATTCCCAATAAAATAATTTTTAAGGAATTCAATTGAATTCATTTTCTTTCCATCCATTTTCCAATTTTACAAACAATCGGACCTTTATTTATTTTAAAATGTGAATCAAGGAGAAGACCAACAGAAGAAGATCAACTTCATAGAACTCATCTTCTTCCATAGTATCACGCTTCTTCTACTGGAATGACATGTCACCGAAGCCGAAGTAGGCTGCGGCAGCGCTAGGAGTTTCCAAGTGTTGCCATTGGTGCCCATGGGATATGGAGAGTAAACGTTGAAATTGGTGCCATTAGTGTCCAATGTGTGTGTGTGTGTGTGTGTGTGTGAGAGAGAGAGAGAGAGAGAGAGAGAATGGAGAGATATCGAAAGTGGATTCTTAATTGATTTAATTAGTGGTGAATAATAAATAACATATTAATTTGATAAATGTTAAATAATTATTTACAACTTGAATTTTGAAAGATTTCTCTCTCTCCTCTCATTCTCTCTCTATTTTCTTCCTCACACATGGAACAATGCCACTGAAAAATGGCGTCGGAAGACAAGAAGAGATCACTGGAATATGTCGTCGAGAGGTATTGTGACGTCATTGCAGCGATTGTTAACAGCGTAGCACGTATCAATGTCATTGGGCACTGATTTTAGATCTGATTTGTGCAGTAATTCTGCTGGTAGTGTGTACAGTTGGTAGTGGTAGGGCGACAACAACTACGACTATAGTGGTGATGTTGGTGGTGGTAATGTAGTGGAAAAGGTGGGCACAACTCTAGCAATGGCTTAGGCTACTGCAATGGTTTGGGGATAGATTTGTTGGTGGTGTTTGTAGTTATTGGTAGTGGTGTAGGCTATAGTAGTGGTGCCGAAGCCCGAAAGTGGTGGGGGATGAGAAGAATGTTTGTGAATTGGTTAATGTGTGATCAATAAATAATATGTGATCGATAAAATATATAATTTATGACCAATAAATAATATATGACCTAAAAAATGTGAGATTCGAACTAAGTTTGTAATTGTGACTCACAATTTGTCAAGTTGTGACCAATTAATTTAATAATTTGTAATCGAAAAATAACTTGTGACAAATAAATTTGATAATTTATGATCGTGAAATAAGTCTTGATATATATTTGTGATTTCTGATTGAGGAATAATACGTGACCTAGAGATGGCAACGTGGCGGGTTCGTGACTGGGCTACCCCATTTCCTACCTTTTTTTAAATTTCCAATTAAAATATAAATTCAAAATTTTAAAATCCAAAACAAATAATGTTCAAACTAATTATATCAATATTTAAAGCAAGCACTCAAAACAAAAAATATCAAAAAAAAAAAAANGCACGTATCAATGTCATTGGGCACTGATTTTAGATCTGATTTGTACAGTAATTCTGCTGGTAGTGTGTACAGTTGGTAGTGGTAGGGCGACAACAACTACGACTATAGTGGTGATGTTGGTGGTGGTAATGTAGTGGAAAAGGTGGGCACAACTCTAGCAATGGCTTAGGCTACTGCAATGGTTTGGGGATAGATTTGTTGGTGGTGTTTGTAGTTATTGGTAGTGGTGTAGGCTATAGTAGTGGTGCCGAAGCCCGAAAGTGGTGGGGGATGAGAAGAATGTTTGTGAATTGGTTAATGTGTGATCAATAAATAATATGTGATCGATAAAATATATAATTTATGACCAATAAATAATATATGACCTAAAAAATGTGAGATTCGAACTAAGTTTGTAATTGTGACTCACAATTTGTCAAGTTGTGACCAATTAATTTAATAATTTGTAATCGAAAAATAACTTGTGACAAATAAATTTGATAATTTATGATCGTGAAATAAGTCTTGATATATATTTGTGATTTCTGATTGAGGAATAATACGTGACCTAGAGATGGCAACGTGACGGGTTCGTGACTGGGCTACCCCATTTCCTACCTTTTTTTAAATTTCCAATTAAAATATAAATTCAAAATTTTAAAATCCAAAACAAATAATGTTCAAACTAATTATATCAATATTTAAAGCAAGCACTCAAAACAAAAAATATCAAAAAAAAAAAAATCTTCATAGGGCGGGTTCAGGACGAGGCCCCGCAACCCAAGACGGGGCTTCGAACCCTGCCCCGTCAATTTGTGACCTGAAAATAATTTGTAAAAAATTAGTTTGATAATTTGTGATCGTGAATGAGTTGTGACTTGTAAAATTTGTGAACTGTGATCGAGAAATAATACGTGACCTATTAATTTGATAAATTGTGATAAAAAAAATAATATGTGATCATTTCATTTGATAATTGTAAAAAAGTTGCAACTTATAAATTTTATGACTTGTGAATGAAAGATATGTAATCGGGACAAGTACGTAAACGTGATCATAAATTGTATAATACTATGACATTAATTTATTTAATATATATTGATTAATTTTATTTAAAACCTAATTTTTGAAACTCTAAAATAATTTTCTTAATTTGAATTTGCGAATTATAACTACCTTAACTATGATTTCCTTCCCCCACTCTAATATTAATTGTGTTTCTATTAAGTCCTATTTCGTGGGGATTGAAATTAAATTTTTAGTAATTTTTAATCAAAATTGGTAAAATGTATAATCAAAAAGTTGTAAGTTTCATGATATATGTAGTTAGTATTAATTGTTGATTTTGATTTATATTAAAATTTATATTTTATTCCCTACAAAATAGGGACTAGCTTAAATATATGGTTTTTTCTTTTTCTTTTTACGAAAATAGTTAAATTTCTATGTTCAGATGATTAATCACCACCTTTCTTCGCTTGAACGTTAGTTTTTTGTTTAAATCTATACAAAATATATCGTTTTCTAACTATCTTTTTAGAAGATGATGATTTAAACAATATTTTCAGTTATTTTGTTTTTTAAATTAAATTATATTTTGTTTTAAAAAATATTTTCTATTCAGAGGATTATATTTTTCAAGATAGATTCGAAAAATAGTATTTTTATGATTATTAAAAATGATTAAAGTGAGAAATACTGGTCCTAGTTTGGAAGCGATTAGGGTTTCTTAATACATTAAGGGTTAAAGTTGTCATTTCGGCTTAAAATTAAACCAGGGTTTCTTTATGAATAGTAAGTCAGCCCCATTTTAGTAAATTCAGTGACCTCATAACAGAGGTAGAGCCACCACTCTCAAGTCTCAAAACAAAAACTAAAAAAAAAAATATTTCTAGAGAGAGAAGTTGATCGCCGCTTTGTGACTGGTGACGGCCGAAACCCTAATTCAATATCTGTGATCATCACAAAAAATCTAAATCTTTTCAGTTTCTTATTTTATCAGTAGTTTTATACATATTGGTGTTGATTAAATAGTATCTATAAATTTTTTTTTGTTTAATTTATATTTGATTTCACAGAGTGATTGTTTTTGAGATAGTGTAAATTTTTTTTTTGTGGTGCACTAATTTGGAATGGTCATGATGGCCGATTCTCCAAACAATGACCACTCGCCACGTTCACCTGTAACGGATTCTGCCATCGCTGCCGCCTCCGCCGCAGGTGGCGGCGTTAACAGTCCCCAGTCACGGCGGTGGGGACCCTCCTCGGTTTGGGCCTCTGTCGTTCGTGGAGATTCCGACCCAATCTCTTCACCCACAGCCGCTGCGTCTCGCTCCTCAACGTCTCCGCCGCCGATTGCTGTGGCTGCGTCGGAGCAGCCTTCTGCTTCTGAAAAGGCTCCGATGGAGAGTTCGGGCCTGGATTCCCAGCCTGAGAGTTCCAATGTTAACAGTGACGGCAATGCAGGCCGTCCGAGGAGGCATGCTTGGAATACACCTGTAAACGGCGTCGTTGAGCCTGGTTCTGTTATGGGTGATGCTGTTTCTTGGCCCGCTCTCTCTGAATCAACCCGGACCCCTAGATCATCATCGGAACCCTCCAGACCTGTTCCCGATGGATCATTATCTTCTTCTCAGGTTAAAATATATATTCAATGAAAAAAATTTGTCCGTGTTTACCTTTTATGTTTATGGGTTGGGATGTTATTGTTTTCAATAATATTTTTAGCGCTTCATGATGTTGAATACTTTTGTGTTAATGTCTATTTTTTGTGTGTCTGCACTGATGTAAATGGTAATTTAGTGAGTAAATTTTAAGTTTTGCTGTAAATATGAATGTATGATTTGAGTTTCTTGCTTTATATTTGTGATTGTTGAATGTTGAACGACCCTGAGAATTTATTCCAGGGACGTTCTAATACAGTTTATTTGGACTTAGAATAGTAATTGTAATAATCGAAAGTTCAATTCTCTAGTTCTGCCAATTTATGCCAGTTGTTAAAGGTACAAAAAGATCAATTATTTTTCCATATACCAATTGATCATTGTTTCTTTTCTAGTTTCTGTTATATTTCAAGTGGGGCTTATGTAAGGATTAACAGAGCTTTAATTCTTTGATATTGACAATATTTATACTGATTGAAACTTGAAAGGCATTCATAATTAGTTTTTCTGTGGAGGCATTTGTGTGATGTCTCATTAATATTTCTTTTCATTTGACAGGGACCTATAATATCTCAACCACCTCAGAGACAAGTTAATACCAATGCTCATGTTAATTCTACTGTGAACAATACTAGACAAAGGTCAAGGAATCGTGGTGGAGGTGCTGGTGGAGGTGGCGGCTCAGGAAGTGGGCCTTCTTCTAGTGCCTTTAGTCGGCAGGCTCCCCCTTCGCCACCTCCGTTTCCTGTGTTTGATATGTCTTATGCTAATGTGGTACCACCTATGCTGGACGCTCCTGTGAGAGGGACGAGGCCAGGAGGAGGAGTTGGGGGTTCCCAGCAACACACCGGTAATGATCATTCTTCTCCAAGGAATAATTCAAGAAGGGGTAACTATGGGCCCCGCCCTCGTGGAGATGGACCATATCATATTAATCATGGAGGCAGGCGGGATCAAGATCGCAGAAATGTTCATCTTTCCCATCAATATGTTCCTCCTGTGGGGTATATGCCATCCCCATTACCCCCTGGCGCACCGTTCATGGCTCCTCCACCACCCGTAAGAGTTTTTCCTGGCCAAATGGGGTTTGGTAAGTCTACTGCATGCTGTCCTTTGATAATTTTACGATTTGAACTTATTTTGTTACTAATATAGTTGTATCTTACAGATATGCCATCTCCCTTTATCTATGTTCCAACATTGTCCCCAGAGTCTTTCAGGCCTATGCAGATAGTGCCTCCACCGCCACCAGTGCTGTTTGCTCCTAATGATCCTTTGCCCAGTTTGATTGTGAAACAAATAGATTTTTACTTCAGGTAAATGTCAGTTGAGAACTTATTTGGAAGAACTATGTTTTGTTGTTTCTTTATTATTCGTTGCTAAAGGAGGGACTTTTTTCCAGTGATGAAAATTTGGTGAAAGATAATTTTTTGAGGTCCAACATGGATGATCAAGGATGGGTGCCTATCAATTTGATAGCCAGCTTTCCACGAGTAAGTTGAGATGGATTTTTGTTTGCACAATTCACATTATCTAATATCTGTTTTATGTAAATAGTTTGAACTCTATTGTTACCTAGCTGGCCTGTACTTGTGCCTTTTGATATTAATTAGTGCTTATATCACTTGAACTTAGTGCAGCTTTTAATTACAAATGCCATAAGATTTTGGCCTGGTTTACATAAGATGAAATCAATTTATTTGGTGCTTAATGATATTCCTTTGTAAGTGATTGAACTTTATTTCTAACTTTGAGAAATAATTTCTATAATGGGATAACCTTGTGAGTTGTTCTATTTCACAATGAAATCCTGGGATTCATTTCATAATACAGTTGTTTTTTATTTCCAGGAGCGTATATAATGCACAGAAATTCCAATGAGTATGTTGCAAGAGTCTATAATGATTCTTTACTTATTCTCCTATTTTAATTATATAGAAGCACAACTGTCTTAAGTTGTGTTATTGGGCTTCCACAAGGATATTTTAGGATTTCTGCATCGTCTTGATTTTTGGTGGCAAATATTTGTCCTGCTTCACACTTGGTTTTATATGAATGCAAATGTTTCAGGCAGGTAACTTCGCAATGCAGATTTTATTTGTCAAGCATCTCTGTATGAATGGAATTTCTTTTCCTCTCTTCTTGTGGGAATTGATCTCCAAAGGTCTTATTCCTATTTTATATTTCAATTGCAAGCTCATACTAAAAGATGATCTTAAGATTTCATCTTGAATTCCCCAGGGCATTTTATAACCTAAATGGAAAATCCCTTCTTTCATGAGGATTTAAAAGATGGCTAATTCTCTCAACTCTTTTGTTGCATTCGAGAAAAAGCATCTTTTATGTCTACTGTCATGTTTGCTAGATTGCTTTGGCTTGCTTTATGTGTTTCGTTTATATGCTGTTTTTCATATTTGTACAAGTGTTCTCCAATGCACAGATCAAGGTTGTCTGGTGGTCTTCTTTTTCAGGTTCAGCAATTGACATACGATGTCCCATTGATTTTGGATTCTTTGAGAAATTCAACCATTGTGGAAGTACAGGTAGCTTTTAACAATTTGGATTCTGTACTTCAATTTTGTCAAGTTTTAGTTTGATTACTTTCAAATATGCGTTTAATTTTCTGTCACATGTGGTTCACGTGTACATTTGTTATGTTAGAAACGTGTCAGGTTGGATAAGAAAATTCATATTGCTACTTGCTGGTCGTTAAATTCATATCCTGTCAGTGTCTGCTAATTATGGATTTTGAAAGAAGCCGTGGCAAAATGTGTTCATTGTTGTGGTCTTCGTGCTTTAATTTGCAGGGTGACAAGTTGAGGAAACGTAACGAGTGGAAGAAATGGCTACACAATGCTAGTTGGTCTAACACTGATTCTGGCCCACACACCCCTGGTGCTTCATCTGAAAATGTTCTAGCAACCTCCTTCCAGAGGGTTTCACTGGACGATGCTACAATTGATGCAAATGGCACTATGGATGGTCAGACTGAGATGTCTCCAGGTAAGTATACATCTGATGAAACGACTGCATCGTCAATGTTGGGTAATGGAGAAGATACTTCAGAAGACGCTCATTCAATGAATATGTGAAAAGTTAATCTGCGAAGAAAGTTTTGCACATTCAATCAAGGTTGGTCTAGTTTGTGTTGAATTTGAAAAATAATGCTTAATATGTGAGAAAATCTTCTAATCTTTAGTATTTTTCTTGACTGACCTGTCCTTGATTTTCAGGAGGCAGCTGGAGGGGGAGAAAAAAATAAACATTTGTAACTTATCAGACTTAGAAAGACGGGAAAGGAGATTGAGATGAAAATGGAGCTGACATTATATCCGGCACATAAATGGCTACTTGAATTTTTTTAATTATGATGTGGATGAACGGTGGTTTTCTGTACTAATGATTCGGTATTTAATTCTGGAGAGAAACCTTTTGAGGTGAATTCTCCTCGTTAGACATGGCTTTTATGACAGGAAAACCATTCTGAAAGATAGAGCATAAGTGCTTGGCCAGCCAGCATCATAAGAGTGTGAGCTCTGCTTTATTTTGTGTTGATACTTTCCAAGGCCTCTTGATTATCATTATAATATGCTCTCCCATTTTTGAATATTTTGACATTTATCATTTTGTTAATTTTCGTTATACTTACTATATATAGGCTTGCTATTATACATCTGTAATGTTCAGGGCCCTCCATGATTTTGTTGCATCTCAACCAGCAGTAATGCAACAGTGTTGTCATGGGCTTTTTATCAAGCTTGTGTTCATAATCATTTGGTGTAATCTGTTCATACCAGTGAGTTCCTTGACCTGCCATTGTGGTTTGGGAACCTTGCGGGCAACATTAGATAGTGGACTAGTGTTGGACACTGTATTTGAAGTAAGAAGCTATAGAAATCAGAGGCAATGCTTCTAGGCTGGACAAACTATCAGGGCAACAACTCTTAAGACTTCTTTGCTAACTCATTTGCAGCGAGCTAGCATTTGTTAAGAACGTTCTAATGTCGTAGGGATTTGATTCTGGATATAGATATGAAGCCCTTGGGCATGGAGCAACATTGCATATTTGGGCAATTGACGCAAGATGGTAATGTGCAAATATTATGTCACCTTATTAGGTGGTTAAAGACTAGTTCAATAAATTAGTTAATGAAATATCGTGAACTCCACAAGTATTACCAATATCTCAACTTATATGAAGATAGCGCTTTTTGTTAGGGTCTATTTGGTAGGATTTTTGCTTTTGCTTCTTATTCTTGAGGAAGTTATTTTATGTCAACTTTCTCTAAAAGTTCTTGTGACCAAACAAATACTTTCAAAAAATCAGCTTAGTTTTATAAGTAATTTTTGACTTCTTAAAAATTCTGTTAGGTGGGTCCTAAGCCTAGAATGTATACATGATTCTGTATGTGCAAAGCACAAAGGAAAGCTACTGTGAGGAGCCACGAGCATGGGACAATATGCGTAATTAGAGTAGAGGTTCACTCTTATTAAGTCTCTGTTTGATACATATTCTTTCAAAAATCATTTTTAACCACACATTTTTCAATAAAATAATGTTTTTCATTACTTCAATAATTTTTTCTTACTTTTTAATCACATATTTTTTATCATATCACTATTTAAAATACATTCTTTCCACAATAATAGTCATCAAACACACCCTAAGATTGCCACTGAACTACTATGCTTTTGGTTGTTGCATTCGCAGCTATAAGGTTTGTAGAATGTGGACAGCCCAGTTTCAGAAAATTAAGGGCTTGTTCTCTTTGTTGTTTTCGGACCGTTTTCTGTTTTCGATTTTCGAAAACGCCCAAAACGCGTTCTCTTTCCTATTTTCGAGTACGAGTTTTCGAAAACACAAAAAAAAATTGCATTGAAAACACAAAACGGTGTTTTTAACGTTTTGGATGTTTTCTGTACAAAACACGAAAAATTTTGAAAACGCGCAAAACACATCCTACTGTTCCAAAACGACCCATTTCTTCTCCAACCCAAATCCGTCTGTCTCTTCCATCTTCTCTCGTCTCCAGAAGATAATAGCCGGCGATCTCCTCTTCTCTGCAACCGGACGTTGCTGTTGGGCCGGTGCCGACGTCGGAGTGGAGACTGAGGAGGTGACGCTGCCGTGAACACAGCGTCGCGAGCCATTCGTCGCGACCCATGGGAGGCGATGCTGCTGTGGACGTTCGTCTCTGTCGCCTCTCTCTTCGACGTCGGGTAGTTCGTCTCAGCTCCCTCTCTCTTTTTTCTGTAGTATTTTTGTTTGGACATTTTTTGGTTGTATTGATTTTGGTGGTGGTAGATGGTTGATGGTGGTGTTGATTGAGGTCGATTTTGGAAGTGGTTGAAGGNCGGCAGGGCAGTGGTTGAAGGTGGCGGAGGTGGTGGTGTTGTGGTGATTTCTTTAAAAAACTAGTATACACAAAACATTGATTTGAGTTTCAAAGTAAACGTGTTTTCTAGTTTCATGTTTTTAGAAATAGTTTTCCAAAACAACAAACAGAACGCATTTTCAACAATTTCAAAACGGACACTCAAAACACAAAACACAAAACGAATTCAAAACTCAAAACAGAAAATTGAAACACAAAGAGAACGGCACCTAAACATCTTGACATTCATCAATGATTTAGGGTTTGGCTGATCTAGAAATGGAGAATTAATCATTCGGAAAAAAATGGTGTCGCTTCAGAATCCCACATTGCAGGAACATCGATGCTGCAAAATTATTGTTGCAACATAAGCTTGTGAGAATGGTTGTAACAATGATTAATCTTTATTAAAAAGTTTAAGATCGATTATTCGAATCTTTAATTTTTGAAAATTCATTCGGGTAAATAATCACAATTTGTAAAGATTATGTTAATGAAGAAATACTATTTCGCTTTTAACTTGTACAGAATCAGCAACAATGAACTGAAGGGGAAAAAATAGAACTCAGTGTTCAGAATAAATTTAATTATTTTACTTTGATAAGTACTTTATTGAGGATTAATCAGCAAGTCATCCATTGTCGTCCAGCGGTTAGGATATCTGGCTTTCACCCAGGAGACCCGGGTTCGATTCCCGGCAATGGAATTTTAATATTTTTAATTTTATCTCCCATAATAAGGTTATAAATTGTAATGGGATCTTTGGAATATTTACTGCAACAAATTTTGTATATCATTTTAAATTATTGTCACAGTACGCTATCTTAAAATAAAATTGCCTATCGTTAAAATACCGTAATCTCTTTAGACAATCACTCTCGACGTACAATGATCGAATCACTTGCGTAGTAATCATAAATGATTTGTAGAACTTTCAATAATACTCCAGAATAATATCTCAAAATAGCAAAAAAATTTAAAAACATGTTTATAGCCAAAAACAATACAATAACAGCCTTCAACTGCCATTTTTGTACTGGCTATTTTGACTAATAATAAATTCGAAATACCTTCCACATAAATTTCATACTTTTCACCAATTGAAAATTTTATCTAATTTAATTTTTTCTTTAAAATAATATATTTGATAGATAGCTAGTGGTGCATTACAAGTCAACAAGAATTAAAATTTGTCACACGCTCGTGTCGTGAGTTGATCATGACCACTTATTTTATTTTATCATTATAATTGAAATTCGATGGTGGAATTTAATTAATATCATAAGATTGATTAGCTAGATTTAGATTTTGAAAACGATACTTGCTATAATTCAAGGTGTTAGGTAAGATTAAAGTAATTGATGGTGTGGTTGGTTCATTTGAATATGTATACAATGACGAACTAAATTTGAATATATTTTACATTGCTATATGTCTTGAACCACTTGTCATGTTTGCTTAGCTCCTCTTCCAACTTGATTTACTTAAATTGCATCATCTTACGAAATGCGAATATGAATCTTTTTAGTCATTAAGGTCCTGTTTGAGCCAAATTATTGTAGAATGGGAATGAAAAATATAGACGTTTTTGGGGCCCACATAAGAGATAGAAAATTTGAATTTAAATGTTGATGTGATGAATAATGGTCAAATTTTTCATTTTAATGAAATAATAATGTAGATCAAACGAGGGCTAAGTCTACTCAAAATATATCATGACCACCTAAGTCGTCATTCCCACAAAAGACTGCTGGGTGTTAGCATTTTCCACTCTGTGGACCTTAGGGTGGAGACATTAATTTTGAGATATCCAGAAGTCTCCAGTGTACCCAGAAATTTTGCGATATAACGCAATTCGGAAAAATCATTCCACACTCTTGATGATAGCCAGGCAAGGTACAAGAGTAGTGTTTGTTAATTGTGGACTGGTGTATTTTTGTTTCAAAAATTGCATCACAGGCTCATTTCAAGAGGAAAGATTATTCTGTGTGAAAGCAAGGACAACGAATATTCAGCCCAACATAAGTTCGGATTGCTGGTAAAACAAGGCGCGATTGGGTTAATATTGATCAACGATGAGAGAGCCGTGGCATCAACTTATGGATCTTCTCCTGTGGCTGTTGTCACCGAAGAAGATGGAGCTCGGATACTCTTTTATATCAACTCAAACAGGTAAAACCATTGCGTTGATCGTATGCTTTAGAGTGCTGTCTATAATTAAAAGCTAAATAGGGTTTTGATCATTAAAAAGCAATCATGTAGTGACAATTTTACCAACAGAGGTCGTATCAAAGCACAAGCCAGCTCCTGTTGTTCCCTATTTCTCTAAAAATGGTCCTCCATTCAGCACTAGAAACCTTCTCAAGATAAACACTGTTTCATCTAATGTGCACTCTTGATATGTTAAAGAAAAGAACAAGAAACTGTTCAGCACCTGAAAGAAGGGTAAATTTGTGTGCATTTTACGACTTTGTTTCCAGATATAGCAGCTCCAGGAGTAGCCATGTTTCGGGAGTTGCAGCAACAGTCAAATCGCTACACCCGTCATGGAGTCCCTCTGCAATCAAATCTGTTATCGTGATATCACGATAAAAACTGCATAGTACAACAGCATGTTCAGTTGTGATCAAAATTGAGTCAAACTTACTGAAAAGTTACTCATTTTACCAAACATATATCAGGAAGGTCGCTGACCTTAACTCAATCCATTTGTATACTTGCAGCTATTCAGACAAACAATTTACAGCACCAATAAGATCAAAAGTTACATCATATGATATCAGGTGCAGGGGATTATGTAAGCACAAAATACTTCTATATTAGACAACAAAAATTTAATTTCTGCAAACAGAAGCGAAGTTTTATTAGCGCATAACGAAGCAACTAAAAAGATTGCTAACTTTCAACTGTACAATAGAAACAATCCTGAAAAATCCATACGTAACTAAAAAGAATGTGAACTTTCAACTATACTGCGGAAACAATCCTGAAAAATCCATATGATTGAAACAGGAAAATTCCAGATGTCACCACAGTAACTTTCATCCAGCTTTAAAGAAAAATTGAAAATATACTACTCAAAAGCCCATGCGTTCTCTCTTCGGATCTCCTCTTCTTCTTCAGGAGTAAAGTCATTTTCTATGTTGAATATCTTGCGAACCTCGTCTGGTGTTTTCCCCACAATCATGTCTGCAACAGATTTGCAAGTAAGATCCAGAAGACTTTTGATATTCAGATAGTTAGCAGCCTGAAAATTCAGATAGGGAAAAGGAATAGTGAATGCCATGAGAAGCAGAGTCGTGAACTATGCAAGAGAAATACAATGTAACAAACTGACTAAACGGAGTATAACGGTACTTGAAGGGAGTCAACAACATTCTAGATTTTTGGCTTATATGAGAACCCGAACGATAAAACCCAACTCCTTTATCTGCTCGAATACATTATTGACCAAGTAAAACTTTAGTATCAGTCTAATAAAAACCCTAACACACAATTCATAACCGAATCCACCATAATCTTGAAAAATGACAACAACAACAAGAGCAATTCTTGACATGTTCAAACCAATTTCAGCCTAATAAAAACCCTGACACGCAAATCTACCCGAATCCACCATAATCTTGAAAAAAAGAAGACGACAACAACAAGAGCAATTCTTGACATGTTCAAACCAATTTCAGCCTAATAAAAATCCTAACACACAATTCTACCCGAATCCACCATAATCTTGAAAAGGAAAGAATCGACAAGGGCAAAATCAAAGCGTATACCAGAATAAGTTCGATAAGGGTGGCCTGGTCGACTTTGACGAATTCAGAATCATATGCCTCGATCTTGGCTTTGTCACCGGCGGCGGCGGCTTCAACATGCTTCTTACAGAACTCAATGACCATGGCGAGGATCTTTCCGGACACGTTGGGAACGGGAATTTCGTTATCGGCGCAATCGTCCTCGATCATAAGTTTGATGGTCTGAGACTCCAGGGCAACTATCTCTTCAACTTTGAAAACCACAGCGTCAAAGCTCTTCAGGGTTATCATCTTGCCATCTTTCGACATCGTTTTACTGTCAGCAATTGATTTAGGGATTGTGAAGAATTATTAAGACATGGAACGAACGAGAAAGGAGACAGAGGGAAAGAGAGGGAGATTACGAGATTTGAAGGGGGCGGTGCACTATTTATAGAGCGGTTCAATTACTTTAGTAATTCAGATATATACGCGTTTGGGTCCCAAACCTTTCGAAATAGTGAAGATGGCATCCAAATCTTTGAATCGTACATACTCTAAACCTTTCAAGATTGAACCCCTGCATGATTTTTGTTCGAAAGTTCATTAGTTGACAAAAAGTCAAGTGATAAACTGCTTGTTTGTTCTATAATTACCTACTTTTTTCATGATGGCTGATTTGTCGTGGAACTGCCGTCTCTAATTGTTGTCATTACTTTCGTCGTTCAATCGTCTACAACTGTGATTCTTAGATCGTGGGGGTGGAAGAAGGTTGCTCAATAACTGTTGCTTTAGATAACCAGATTACCTCATGTTTGCTAAAATCCTGGGCGATTCGAAGGTTTGGGCGAGAATAGGCTCGTTCGCTTTGGGCGATTTTAAGGCACTCCACTCGCTCAAATCTTGAGCGTCTTGCAAGTTTGAGAGATGATGGTACCTTATTCGTGGGCCTTCACTGCTTTTATTAATGATTCTATTTGGGCTTTCATCCTGGACTTCATAACTGGACTTATCCCTTGGGCTACTCGATTTGGGCTATACTTTTTGTATGTCAACAAAGTTTTTTCTTTCTGTTGCTCTAATTCTTCTCCAAAATATCAAGAAAACAAAAAGAAAATAAAAGAGAGAATGAAGGAAAGAAAATGAAGAAAAAATAAGGGAAGAAAAATGAAAATTGAACTCCCAGCTGATGTCCCCAATTTTTTTTTTTTAAAGCCCTACCATAAATTGCAGCCTTGGTCCATAGAGTTTCGAAAAGTAACGAAACGGACCCCAAGTCTTAAGGTGGCGCCTAGGCGCTACCTTTCTGGCCAAAAATTCATTGCTGATCTCATTCTATTCTTTTTTTTTACACACAAGTTCTCCAAAAATATTGCATGCCAAATCCTTAAACTTTGATATTGTACATTTTGGTTCTCGAATTTTGACTTTTATATCAATTTGCCCTCCTAAAATTTCCACTTAAGTCCTCAAACTTTCGATCCTTGTGCACTTTGGTCCTCAAATTCACGATTTTTGTACTATTTCAATAATTTTCTCTTCCTTTTTGCTTGTTTTATTCCAATGGGTGATTTTTAACCTATAAAAGCACAGTTTACACAATTGTGAGTATAAATCCCACTCATTTCATGAATAATAAGTTTAATTTAAGTATTAAATAAGTGTGCAAAAACATATTTATTAGGTAGCGTGGCTAAAAATGTAATACTATATTATTATGTGTAAACATTATGTATTTATTATTTTTTTCTATAAACAACATTTATTTCACATCATATAAATTTATATAAAATGAAATTTTTTAATTATATGACTCATGGCACATTTATCTTTTCATAAATAGTAATATTCATATTAATTTATTGAAGATGCATTAAAAGATGACAAGTTTACATATGAAATATCATAAACACAAATGAAATACCATAATTTATTGTGTCTCCTTAAATGTCATTCATTTCTAAAATATATTTTAACACATAACACATGAAAATAATAATAAACAATTAAGATAATAACATGAAATAATTAAAAACCCGAATCATGAAAGGTATTCAATCAATATATTAATTTGTAGTGTTTAATACTTTTATTTGAATGTATTTAAGCCCCCGTTTGGTGCACATTTTGAAGGTAAGAATGCATTTTTACTGTTTATGTGATGTGGAATATGTGGTTGAAAAGGAAGGAAAAATTATTGATGTGATGAAAATTATTATTTTATTGAAGAATGTGTGGTTGAAATGAATAAAAGAATAAGAATGAAAAAAATAATGTGGACCAAACAAGACCTTAACATTTCTCTTATCACGATCAAACAATTATAGGGAAAATTTGCAAATTCGTACTAGGTTAATTATGATCTTATATAGAAGGTATCTAACTTATTAATTTGGGCTAAACATAATAGAAAACTATAAGGAAACTTTGGAACTAGGGTACTTTGGGGTTAGGACCTAATGAGAGAGAAATTTAGGGGTTGTTCTCTTTATATTTCAGTTTTGTGTTTTTAGTTTTGAATTCATTTTGTGTTTTGTGTTTTAAGTGTTCATTTTGAGATTGTTGAAAATTTAAAAAACGAGTTTTCGAAAATAGGAAAGAGAATGCGTTTTTACTGTTTTGAAAAATCGAAAACTGAAAACGGCTTGAAAATGGTAAAGAAAACAAACCCTTAGTTCTTTGTCTAGGTTGTTTCACATACTTTATGTACTAATATGCTAGATGTCAATAATTCTTAGAGATACTATGCAACTAATCAATACTTGTAGTTAAGCTACCATTGGGACGGGGGCATTTCTTCAAGTTGGGTCGAGTTGACCTGCTACAAAGTTAATTTTGACTGACTACAAAACTTTCAAATTTAATTACCTAAAAAAGATGAGGTGGTTGAACGAGAACCATTGTTACGAACAATGAAGATTATTTCATATTCTTGCACTTGCCACGACATCTCTAATATCTCTGCATTACACTCTTTCAACTTATTAGCTACTTATACATATTGACCATTAGATCCGCGTATGAAGGAACATCGTAAATGAATTTTCGCAGAGGAGTACTAAAATATGTATTGGTAGTATCATTGCTGCCCATAACCAGTATAACTAGACTTTCTCTTAGGATTTTGGATGTTCATTCTTCTCAACAATCCCCCTAAGCTTCGTTATATACTCTTTGAACATTACTAACTGAGCCGATAACGAAAAGACCGACTCCATTGCCTCAGAGATTAACATATAGCAGAAGTTCGGAACAATGAATAATTAAAATTGAAACAAATTTCAAAAAATAATTTCAGTTGTGTTCTGCAATATCAGATGTTATAGGACCATATCTTGCACCCCCGGAAGCAAAATTTACGCCTGTTACGAGATCTTGAGCTTGCAGTGATGGCTCAAGGTATGCAGGCAAAAGAGCTTTAATTCCAAAAATCTTCTGCTGACATAAAGACACTAATGAAATTTAATTTAGCATCGAGGAGAAATCACTCCAAACAGAGGCATGCATCAGCGTATGCATGGCATGGCTGGGGAATGGAAAGGTTCCTTTTCTTAAGATACTCCCATGAATTGATACAGTGAGTGGAGACAGGTTGGGACATGTGGCTCAGAGGATTAGAATACATGGCTGTGAACCACGATGTCAAGGATTTGAATCACTCCTCGCTCACAACCGGCTCAAAAGGGCTACCTTTCCCTCTGGAGGTAGGGAAATCACGATAGCGTACAAAAAAATATAACAAACTAAGCCTTGTTTCAATTAATTTGGTGTTGGGAACATGAGTCCCTTTTTCATGACTCCATTTAGTTAATTGCTAGATCTGCTGAAAGATTTAAAACAACTAGTTCTCTAGAGATAACAATGCGTATTACCAATTAAGTCAGAGGGGACTTATCCATGGGAATATTTTTCAGTTGGATTTCCTCCCATTAAAATCTTGTCTATAACGAGGATAATTGGCTTTAGATATGGTGTTGTAGTCATTTGTTGGATTGTGATGCCATTCTTGTCAATTGCATTAAATCCTTTATTGGGGCTGTGATGTAACGTGGGCTAAGCCCACTTGCCAAATGTTTTTTAGTTGGCCATTGCCCAATAACCCAATACTTGATTCAAGCCCAAACCCGAGCCCAAGGTGGGGCCCACGTGTGTTGCTCTAGACCGTTAAATTGATGGCTGGATCTATGATGATGGTGTTTTGTATATATACCAGCTGAATGGTCACTCTTTGTGTGATTTTTTATTCTGCCTTCTGTTTAGTTCTATACAAGCTTCTGGGTTTTTAACTCTCGCGTTCATCTCTATATTCTCTCTTTCGATTTTGTGTGAATTGATCAGAACTTCTGGTTTTGATCTTAAATCTTTGTGATTTGGGTCTTAGTGATTCTTCGATTGAGGGTTTGAGTCTAGAGTCGGTTGTTTGATCTTGATCCATTGTAGTAGCTGCAGTGTGTTCATTCCTCTTAGGGTTTGGCTTTTCTGGCTGTTTCATTATTGTATAGACGAATACAATATTTATGTTCTGAGCCCTATATATAAGGATCGATTTCTTGGTGTTCTTGATCTTTTGGATGTTCTTAGTGATTCCGATTTTCTGCTTCCGTTGATGTTTTAGCTCTACATTGTTGCCGGTATCAAACTATGGAATCTCCAAATACAAAAATTGGTAATTTTTATCACTGATTCACCGAGACAAACAAGAAATGATAGAGAAACACTTAGCAATAAAAAGGAAAACATTTCGAAGCACTAAAGCAGAAAAAATTGCATTGTTATCAAACACTACCGTGCATGGCCCTTCAAGGTTGGCCCTTAGAATTTTGAGGCCCTAAGCGATTTATTATTATGAGACCTTTAAACATAAGAAATAAAAAAATTTACAAGCCTAAAAATACTTAAGTATTTAAATAAATAATATATATACATTTTAAACAAAAACTTTGTACAATTCAAAAGATAAAGTAGCAAATTCAAGTTATTTTCAATACATCAAATTTGGATATTATGGACTCGTGAGAAAAGTTATTTTGAATAAGTCAAATTCAAGTTATAACTCATGAAAGTAAATTATTGGATGTGTAATATTGCTTTCCAAATTAAATTATTTTAACATAATAATATTGGACTCATTTGATAGCTAGTAATTAATCATGTATGTAAAACTGAAAAAAAAAAAAAATATTTTGACTTTTTCGCTTTATTTCCACTTTAGTACTTTTTTCCTTTGGGTTTCATTTAATCTTGAATTTATTATTTCCAATGTAGATATTGGACCAACCACACATAGTCCATTAACTCACTAAATAAATATTATGTTCTTTGCTTTTTTGTATTTGACAAAAGTACAATAATTAATTGTCTAATAGTCGCCTATTTTCCCTTTTAATTGCGTGTAAGTCATGTAATTGGACTCATACTTTCTACTGTTAGGGTGCGTGAATCGTGTTTGTGTTTGCATCTTTTTTCAACCTGTAAAGAATTTCGCTTGAAAAATTTCTGCTAGTTATGTGTGACACATTAGACCTCAAAATTGCTTCATTTTTTATAACAAAAAGTATATAACAAGTCAGATTTGGGTTGCTATTTAGATCAAGTAATATGTTAGGCTATCAGAATGAGCAGCTTGGTACTAGGTCAGCCATGGTATTGTATAAAAGGTTTCTAAATTATTAAATTGGGGGTAAATTAGCAACTATTTGAAAATGTTGGAAAAATCACTTTTTCTCATAATTTCTCATTCCTCCTTTTTCAGGCTTTAGGCACTATTGAGAGTGACTATTTATCCCTTGTCTAGGTTGTTTCTCTGTATACTTTCATATTCTTCATCACTATGCGAACCAAACAATACTCTTAATCAAGCTACCATTTGTAATGGTGGTTCCACCATGACTCTTCAAATTCGGTTCAATTTTCCCGCTACTTTAGTACAAGAGACTATTTTCAGTGAGCGTGAAATAGACACTTTCTTCATTTGCGGTCTTAACAAAAAAATAAAAATTAAATAGATGACTATTCTTCACCTTAGCCATCTAATATTCTCGTTAACTAATCGTGTGTTCTTAAGAAAAATGAAAAAAATATATATATGAAATTAAAAATCCACTCATCTTGTTTAGCGAAATGGCTTGTCCCGTTTAGTTTTTATTTGTATTATTCTCATGTTAAATCCCATATCATTTTATCTCGTTTTTGTCCTTCAAATTCAATCACAAAACAAAGATGAGGTGGTTGAACAAGAATCACATAACAATAAGTCAACACTTGGCATGATCGATGAAGATTAATTCATTCTTGCACTTGCCATAGCATATATTATCTCTACATTAAACAAATTCAACTTCTTGACAACTTCTAAAACTAAAATACATTAGGATGAGTAGTGTCATTTGCAGCAGGCAAAGTCGCAAAGACTAATGTTGGCATCTGTACTTCAAGTGGAATGTCAAATTATGTTGATAGTCAATGAAATCAGCAGAATGGCTTTTCTCAGATGAAATCCTTCATATATTGCTTGAGCATCTGATGGACAAGAAGCCTGTATGCTTTTTCTGTGAGATGAAAACTGTCCCAGAAAACATACTCAGATACATTTGAACATGTACTTTGACAGAGAAATGCTACTTCTATTGTTCCTGTGCCACAGCACCCGATATTCGAAATTCCAAATCCTGTCATTGTTAATTCAGTTTAAACATTTAGAATGGCTAAATATCCATTTCTTACGAATGTAATTATATGAAAAGATAATGTGCTTTATAAGATATGAGTATTATGTCAGACTTTATGTGGGAGGGAGAGGGGAGACGAGGAAAAATGGGGCGGAGAAAAGGTAGAGGGAGAAATATCCTTCTCAATCAATGTAAACTGACATTATTCATGATTCAATACAACGCAGAGGAAAAATATTTACTTGAATATATTGTTTTCTTTCTAATTACCATCCCTTTAGATCTTCAATAAAGTTATCATCTTGACTTGTGCGATCAAATGAACATTTTTTGCAACAAACCTCGACATAGTATAAATCTGTGGCAATACAATCAAGATTATATGTTAAAACATTTCTTGAAGGAAAAAATTGGATGGTGTACCATATTTTTCTGGGTTGAGGATGAGATCAAGTGGAAGATAGTACATATCGAGGTAGTTAATCCGTGCTTCTGGGATTTTTCTGTTAATAAAGTTCAACTCATCTGATAGTTTCTTGTTGAATAACTGTGACACTTGATTATAAGAATCTACACATTTTCTCAGCAGTCCTCCTTTCAAAGTTCTCTGTGATGGCACACATCCAATTGGTGGTAAACCGAAAACGCCAATTCTATGTGACCCCAATTCGTGCAAGTCCTTTGAACATAATGCACAAAAAGCAAATTAGTATTATAATCTTATCAAATACTGTTTACCAACTAACAAACATGTATTGCAGGTTTAATGCCGCCAGATTTTACCTGTACAAAGCTGGAAGCATAACTGACTAGTAGATCAGCATATGAAGGAATATCGTAAACGAATTTTCGCAGAGGAGTGCTAAAATATGTATTGGTAATATCATTGCTGCCCATAACCACTATAACTAGACTTTCTCTTAGGATTTTGGACGTTCGTTCTTCTCCAACAACCCCCTTAAGCTTCATTATATACTCTTTGAACATTGCTAACTGATCCGATAACGAAAAGACCGACTGCTTATCACCAGAAGTTAACAAAAATAGCATAAGTTTGGAAATTGGAACAATGAATAAGTAAAAATTGAAACAGATTTCAAAAGATAATGTCAGATGTATACTGCAATATCAGATGTTAGAGGGTCATATCCTGCGCCTCCAGAGGCAAAATTTACTCCTGTTACGAGATCTTGAGTTTGCAGAGATGGATCGAGGTATGCAGGCAAAAGAGATTTAATTCCCAATTCTTCAGCTGAAACAAAGACACTAACGATATTTAGTTTAGCATCGAGGAGAAATGACTCCAAACAGAGGCATGCACAAGCGCACTCATGGCTGGGGAATGAAAGGTTCCTTTTTTCTTACAGTAGTCCGATAAATAGATACAGTGGAGACAGGTTGGGGCCTGTAGCCCAGAAGAATAGAGTACGTGGCTATGAACCACTGTCAAGGATTTGAATCCCTCCTCACCCACAACCTGCTCAAAAGGGATTGATTACCTTTCCCTCTGGAGGTAGGAAAATCATGCTCACATACTAAAACAATAACAACAAACTAAGCCAGCTTGTTTCAATAAATTTGTTGTTACCAACATGAATCTCTTTTTCATGACTCCGTTTAGGTAATTGCTAGATACACCGGAAGATTTAATGCAACTAGATCACAAGAGAGAATGATGCATATTACCAATGAAGTCAGAGGGGACTTTTCCATTGGAAAATCTTCCTGTTGGCTTTCCTCCCATAAANTCCTCCCTTGAGATCTTGTCCATATGGAGGATAATTGACTTTAGCTATCGTGTTGATGTAGTTGTTGTTACCAGTATCGACTATGGAATCTCCAAATACAAAAAGTGCTGGAATTGTGTTGTTTTTTGGTAATTCTATCACAGATTCACTAATACAAACAAGAAATGAAAGAGAAACACTTGACAATACTAAAAGGGCAAACATTTTCAAGCAGAAGAACTGCATTGTTATTGAACACTAACTTGCATAGCCCTTCACCAAGATACATGGAGGCTAAATTGCATCTTTATGCACCATTTTTTTGGTTTTATTATTTGGTTGCATTTTCATCTTGAATTTATTATCTCCAATGTAGATAAGATACTGGAGCAACCACATATGGTCCATGTTCTTCAGTTTCTTGTAAGTGTAATTTTGGATGGTCTAATAGTAGCCTTTTTGTCCCTTTTAAGTCATGTTGGACTCGTGTTATCTACTGTTTGGTGCGTGTATTATGTTTGTTTTGACATCTTCTGTCATCCTCTAAAGAATTCCACTTCAAAAATTTCTGCCGGTAAATGTGTTATCTTGATGAGTTTTAAATTTTCAAATTAATACCTTTTAATTTTTCAGTTTTTGTTTTTAATTTTCAGATTAAATACAAAATTAAAACCATTAATTTTTACGTGAATGTGGGATTGGTTTTTTCCCGTAAAAGGGAGTGATTTTTGTTGGGTTTTTGTTGATCATTATAACACGTGAAGCTGCAGGCCTGGACTGATATTAGAAGCTTTGAAAAGTCAAAGTGACAGTTAGACTCTAGCCTTATCTTTATGCTACTTTATTGGAAATAAATATTTTATGCTTTGATATAGCAGATTATTCTATAAGTCAGTTATCCAATTGATGTATAAATAATTGAACTTCGTACTCAATAAAATATATACTTTTATAATCTCATAAATAAACTTGTTTTGATTGTTATCTATACCAACAATTTGGTATCAGAGCATCATTGGTCTTTAAGGGTTCTTTGAGATTTAGGCTCTGTTCGAGAGGGATTAAAAGCCAATTAAAATTGAAAATATGGCCGTTATTGGGTCCCACTCGTCTAATAAAAGTCAACAATAACGGCTATATTTTCAATTTTAATCCGATTTTAATCCCTCCCATACAAGGCCTAAATATGATTAAAATAGTAAACACATAAAATAAAAAAAATAATAGAGATGACAATTTGGGATAGGGATGATGTTCCCGTCAAGATGGGATAATTTGGCAAATAAGTTTGTCATTCCTAAATATTCACCACCTCAAAATATTGAGTAAATTGTTTGAACACTCACAGAATTTTAACATGGTCACGACTTACTCACTGAATTTCAAAAAGCCTCTAAATGGTCACTGAACTCGATTCCAATTGCCCACCCCACTGCCCTCTGAGTGTTGGATGTGGTGCAATTAATGAAAGTTCAGTGACCATTTAGAGGCAATTTGAAGTTCGGTGAATAAGTCGTGACCATGTTAAAGTTCAGTGACTGTTCAAACAATTTACTCCAAAATATTAAGTAAATTATAGAAAATATAATTTAAAGCACCGCCAAACATAACCTTACACCTTGCCTAATATTTTCTCTGTGAGAAAAGAAGAAAATAGCATTTAGATAAATTTTGACTTCCATTTCTGCAGGCTGCAGCTCAAACCAAGTCATCTTTTTTTCTCTCTCTAAAGTTGATTGTTCCATGGCTTAATCTCAAGATTTCCAGCTGTAAGTGTCATCCTTCGATCTATTTTCACTTCTTATTCTAAATCTGAATCACAATATGTGTATTTTACCTTAATAAAATTAATAATGAAATTTTGTTTTTTTCCTTTATATTCGTTATACTCTTTTTTCTGCTAATTACCGAACAATTAGACTAAACGTTTGATTCTTAGCGCGCGCTTATTTTCCTTTTTTATGATTTAATTTTTTTATAGCTGCTTTAAATTTTCGACTACATGTAATTCTGGATGTAGAGTTGTGAAGAAGGGGAAAAAAAAAGGATAGTTGACTATGAAATATGCACAAAGTTCTCACCTTTATCATGTTAATTGTAGCTATTAAGAGAATTGATTTAAAAGTAACTTCATAAGGAAATAATTTTTAAGAATTCTTAATTGTTATTAGGTTTATGGAAAGTTCAATAAAACTATTTGTACAAAGTTGAGTTACAAAAGTTGGGTTACAAAGTGTGTTGGCAAAATTCAGTCCGTTGATTTCAAATGATTGAAAAGTCTGTTTTTAAAATGATTGGTGTAGATGTTATTTTGTCAACCAATTTTGTAACCCAACTTTGTATATGTAGCATAACTCATGGAAAGTTCGGTATGGTTGAAATTCCAAGAATAAAAATAAAAAAATTTAATGATTTTCAAACTACATGACTCTAGAGGTTGCCAATTTCTGGAGCTTAGAATCAGTTGTGTAAATCTTGAAGACATTTGATGGGTTTTTAAAGGCAAAAGGGTCTGTTTTCGTATAGATATGCTGTGG